GATAGCATACATGTGCATATTACTGAAAAAGTTAATCAGCTGATAAAAGATTAAAGGTTATTAAAACACGTTTGTAGCTGCCGACATCCTCATAGAAATTTAATACTAATAAGTGATAATTTAACCAATGATAATTACTGTAGTTCAATAATTATATTATTCGTACGAATAATAAAATTATTATTTATTACTGACCAATTTATTACAGCTAGTGATATTTTTCTATAAAGGATATCATGTGTACTAAGATTCTGTATTAAAATATTTGGCACTATATGTGTTCGGCAACCTGTCGCACCAATTAAAGACACGAGAGTATATAATATTTTTTTATAATACTACAAAGAACTGAAATGCTGAATACATAAAAATTTTCATTAATTGATTATTGAATTACATAACATAGACCCGTATTAATCGCTATTTGAAGCTAATCCCACGTAAGATATTTAGGTCTCAATGTGTTTATAATCAGATTTGAGTTTATATTTGAATCATATAATATACGTGATATTTCGAATCAAATTTTAGCTAAAAAACCTATTTCCATCTCTGCATGTAAACTGAGTATCTCACATAAAAGGCAAGTTTCAAGTTACGACTATGAATACGGGCCATAAATACATATTGAATATGTCCAGAAGAATTATAAGTTTCATCTCGATTGAAACGCGATCACAAACATGACATCACGAATATTGAAATAAATCTCAAGAATCGTCTATTAAATATATTCCTCTGAAGACAAATTGTACAATTAAACTAAAACATGACAATAAATACGGAAATAATTCTATATTGGACAATAAGAGACGTTATCTTCTGGTCGATGGCTGAATTGCTTTAAGAAATAAAACTGAGTTGATTAACAATCATAGCAGATCGATAAATGAATTAATTCAAAATTAAACTTACATAATTTTCAAACTAAACGGTTCATTTATTGACGATAAATACATCGTCAATAAATTTTAAAGTTTAAGAAATGTCAAAGACTATTTAACACTTTCGTTAACACTTCGATTAACGGAAAAGCATTCAAATTTCTTATTTATCTTTATATTACAGGCAAAAAATATCAATACAAGATGTTAATAAGCGGGCTTTTTATCTCCATCCTAATATTAGTATATTTTTATTATAAGTACATAATATTCAATTTCTGGCGAAAAAAGGGAGTGTTTGTACCTGTCGAACCTGTTGTACCGACTGGCAATGTGACAAAATTTTTGACTGGAAAAATACCATTAGGCAAGTATCATTGAATGACGTTAATAGTACATTCAGTAGTTGAAAAATCTCATCTCACAAAATGGAGAAATCAATAGAAAACCTCTTTTTTCTATGATATGTGACAAAATGAATAATTCTACTTAGATGTGTCTCCTTGAAATTTACAATACTATAATATAAATTCTATTATATTCTTCATCCAGAACTAAACAAAAATTGTGTAAACAGGCGAACTCATGAAAAATTTCTATATGAAATATAAGGAACATCGTGTTATTGGAATCTACACATTGTTCAAACCAAATCTAATAGTCGCCGATCTTGATTTAATTCAAACTGTGCTCACGAAGGAATTCAAGAGTTTTCATGATCGTGGAACGTATTGCAACGAAAAGATCGACCCACTATCTGGTCATTTGGCTTCATTGACCGGAACAAAGTGGCGGAATTTACGCGTCAAATTGGTACCAACTTTTACATCGGGCAAGATAAAACAAATGTTCACGATTATAAGGGAATGTAGTGAAGAGTTGACGAAAAGTTTAGAAATGGAAACTCATACAAAAAATGCTGTTGATATCAAAGAAATATTTGCAAGGTAATTAAGGGAGATTTATTCAAAGGAAAAATGATTGTTGAGACAAAGGAATAAATATCTTTATTTAAAAAGTAACTTGTAAAAACGGTATATTATAATTATAAATTGTTTGTTCCTTGTTTTAATCAATACTTGATTAACGAGCTCGCATCCGTAAGCAATTGGAATAACTCTTGCCGCAATTATTCGTTTATTTACATCATTACGCAAATTATTGTATATCCATTAGAACTTAACAAAACAATGTATCCAATAACAATAGATACACGACGGATATAATTATGTCAACTGCATTGGGAATAAGGTCCAACTGCTTAGTTGAGGCGAATAATGAATATCGATACTGGGGAAAGAAATTTTTCGAATTAAATCCTTTCTGGTCCGCTATGAGGATATTTGCACCAGAAATTTTGGAATTCTTTTCCATTCCTGCTACGGATCGTGGTGTCACCAAGTTCTTCACGAAATTATTCCGTGACAATGTGGAGTACAGGCAAACTCACAACGTCGTAAGGCACGATTTTATGAATTTACTTATACAACTCATGGAGAAAGGCTACGTTGAACTTGACGACAATAGGGACAACACCGATGAATCTTGTAAATATATATCTTACATTTATTTTCACAGCGACGCCGTTGTGAAAAATCTCGTGGTGTCTCTCTTATGTAGCAATCATATGAATATGCACTTTCGGCCACCTAAAATATTTATAACGTCGCTATGCGAGATCATTAAACGATTTTAATACTTTATTCCCACGCAGCTAACACGAATAAACTTACCATGCTGGAGGCGACCGCACAAGCCTTTGTCTTCTTCATAGCTGGCTTCGAAACATCGTCGACCGTAGCGACGTTCTGCCTGTATGAGTTAGCTATACATCAGGATATACAAGACAAAGTTCGCCAGGAGATCGATGAGACGTTGAAAAAGCACGGTGGACTGACTTACGATGCTTTGAACGAAATGACGTATCTGCACAAAGTAGTCCAAGGCAAGCATGACATCTTCTTAACATATCGCGAGGAATTTTTTCTCCGCAAGGAAATTACAAACTTTACGATATTATAATCAGTTACGTATAATGAAATATATCTACATACATCTTTGCGTAGAAACCTTACGGAAATATCCACCTGCAACTGTTTTGGGTCGTGTCTGTACCAAAGAGATAGTCCTCCCAACGACAAACGTTCGCATCCCGATAGGGACATCAATCTCTATACCAGTACTCGGAGTGCATCGAGATCCGTCAATATACCCGGATCCGGACAAATTCGATCCTGAACGTTTCAACGCGGACCAAGTGGCAGCTAGGCATCCTTACGCTTTTTTGGCATTTGGTGAAGGACCACGTATCTGCATAGGTGAGAGTAAATCAATTTTTTCGTTTTAATTTTTCAATTATTCTTTAAAAGAAGAATAATCGACACACACATACAACTTAATTTCTCCATTTTTCGGAAATATACGGTTTTGAATTTAGAATTTTCAATGCACAATTTCATTATGATGTTAGTTTAAAGCGCATAAAGACAGATTATAAAAAATATTTGATTAATAATTCAAATAAATTAGTAAAAGATGTCTTAAGATGTCTTAACATCTATAACAGAAATAGAATGTCTTTTTGACATCTTTAAGATATCTTTTAGTAGATTTTACTTGGGAAGTTATTATTGTCGCATCTCGATGAAAAATGTTTCATACATAATTATGTAAAATTATATAAAATTATATATAATTTTAAATTATTATATATAATTATTTATGAAACATGTTCATGCATGTTAATACATGTTACTTGTATATAATCATGTATAATTATATATATATAAAATTTCATATATAATTTTATATATAATTATATATAATTATAATTTTATATAATTATAATTACAATTATAATTTTATATATAATTATAATTATAATTTTATATATATTTATAATTATAATTTTATATTTAATTATATATAATTTTATATAATTATATATAATTATACATAATTATGCATGGACAAATTTTATATATAATTAGACATGAAAAATTTTTAACGGGAATATATATTTAGTTTGTTCCTTTTTTACTAAAGACTTGGTAAATATATTTCAAAAAATCGAACTTTTTAATTTTCAGGTGCAAGGTTTGGTTATGTGCAAGCAAAGATTGGAATTATAAGCATCGTATCGAAGTTCAAGGTTAAATTGCATCCACAAACTGCGGTACCACTCGAATTTGATAATAAGACGTTTATACTCACTGCCAAAGATGGTGTGCATCTTATTATTGAATCGCTGTAAGCTAATCGCGCTGATATTTTTAAGTTGTAAAATGGATTCTGACGAGGTCTGGGAGCAAAATGTTACATACAGAAAGATGAGACGCTGACACTCTAGTAAATATTATTAAAACCTATTTTTTATTTATAATAAAAGTATGGCCATATTTCAAAACGCACGGAAAAAAGATTTGGTTGAATTAACCAAATATCTGGTCAGTTATAAACGATCCAGAAATTTCGATTAAAATAACCCGAATTCTGTTTAAGTTAACAAGATGTTTGGTTTTGTTATCTTAACAGACTTAAACAAAATTAGGATTAATACTTTAATCGGAATTTCTGTATCGTTCATATTCGACCAGATATTTGGTTAACTGCATCAAATCTTTTTTTTCCGTGTGTAAATAAAAAATATCGTTGATATAAAATATCAAGGGCAGCACGATAATGTCACGAAATCGACCGCATAAAAAAGATTGGCCAATTGATGACACGTCGAATACGACAAGAATGTACTCCGCTCGACGTAATAGTTTTAACATCTTCGATTGTAACTCATGGAAAAAATGTTACACGAAAACGTGTATAATAACTAAATATCCTAAAAATATGCCGGGGCGTTCTAAACATACAAGAAATGACATTGAGAGTTTGTCTTGTCTGTGTTTCAAAGACATAGCATGTAGAAATTTAGAAATATTTGTTTTACTTAAAATTTCACATATACGATACGAATTCTTCTTTCTGCATTATAATTCATTTTTCAACTTAATGTCATTAATCAAATTATGTGCGTAAACAGCAATATAAGATGTGATTTTTTATACCCATATTATTAAATAGTGGCTCTTTATCTAGCTCCTCTTTTGCGAAGAGAATTATCAATGATAAAAACGATAATGACTCAGAACTACGTCATTTGTTTGCGTGATAACAAAGTATATAACCTGCTGACTTAAATAACACTTCTCATTTCTTGCGTGTTGAAGATAAAGTTCAATTGCAATATAAACGAGTTCTTCCTTCATTGCATTAGTATCGTTAGTTCATATGAACACGCAATATGTGATAATCAGTGATTTCATACAGTTTTATAATTGTGAAAAATATAATCTGAACTGTATTTAGTGACTAATAAAATAATTGGTTTTCTTGTGCAATAAAGGTAATATTAGCAACGAATTTACAATGAACAATTCCCCGCTTCTTTTAATTGAACCGTGTATTTTGAAAGTGATGTAAGTGCACTTATCTTCTTGTACAAGATATCAAAACAAAAGGAGATTTAAATAGATTGCATATTACAAAAGTTGAATTGACTGTAAACTAACTACTTCTTTAAATAAAAAATTTTATATTTTACATCGAACGGAACGCAAGTGAATGAAAAATGTTAGATGTTGTTTTACTGTTAGATATTAATCAATAAGAGAGATAATTTCTTAAGAAATCGAAAATATGCCGGAACGAATAAAATTGTGTTTATTACTATAAATTTAAAATATATAAAACTGCATGAAAATAAGCGCCGATTGCAATAGTTGATGATTGTTGTTTGAAGAGTGGAAAAAATTTGTAAAGAACATATGTGTATTTACAATCCGTCGATACAAATTCTTCTTTCTGCATTGTAATTTATTTTTCAACTTAATTAATCAAATTATGTGCGTAAACAACAATATAAGATTTTTTATACGTACGTGTCCGACATGTGATAGCATACATGTGCGTATTACTGAAAAAATTAATCAGCTGATAAAAGATTAAAGGTTATTAAAACACGTTTGTAACTGCCGACATGTTACATCCTCATAGAAATTTAATACTAATAAGTGATAATTTAACCAATGATAATTACTGTAGTTCAATAATTATATTATTCGTACGAATAATAAAGTTATTATTTATTACTGACCAATTTATTACAGCTAGTGATACTTTTCTATAAGGGATATCATGTGTACTAAGATTCTGTATTAAAATATTTAGCACTATATGTGTTCAGCAACCTGTTGCACCAATTAAAGACACGAGAGTATATAGTATTTTTTTATAATACTATAAAAAACTGAAATGCTGAATACATAAAAATTTTCATTAATTGATTATTGAATCACATAACATAGACCCGTATTAATCGCTATTTGAAGATAATCCCACGTAAGATATTTAGGTCTCAATGTGTTTATAATCAGATTTGAGTTTATATTTGAATCATATAATATACGTGATATTTCGAATCAAATTTTAGCTAAAAAACCTATTTCCATCTCTGCATGTAAACTGAGTATCTCACGTAAAAGGCAAGTTTCAAGTTACGACTATGAATACGGGTCATAAATACATATTGAATATGTCCAGTAGAAGTATAAGTTTCCTCTCGATTGAAACGCGATCACAAACATGACATCACGAATATTGAAATAAATCTCAAGAATCGTCTATTAAATATATTCCTCTGAAGACAAATTGTACAATTAAACTAAAACATGACAATAAATACGGAAATAATTCTATATTGGACAATAAGAGACGTTATCTTCTGGTCGATGGCTGAATTGCTTTAAGAAATAAAACTGAGTTGATTAACAATCATAGCAGATCGATAAATGAATTAATTCAAAATTAAACTTACATAATTTTCAAACTAAACGGTTCATTTATTGACGATAAATACATCGGAAGTTTAAGAAATGTCAAAGATTATTTAACACTTTCGTTAACACTTCGATTAACGGAAAAGCACTCAAATTTCTCATTTATCCTTATATTACAGGTAAAAAATATCAATACAAGATGTTAATAAGCGGGCTTTTTATCTTCATCCTAATATTAGTATATTTTTATTATAAGTACATAATATTCAATTTCTGGCGAAAAAAGGGAGTGTTTGTACCTGTCGAACCTGTTGTACCGACTGGCAATGTGACCAAATTTTTGACTGGAAAAATATCAGTAGGCAAGTATCATTGAATGACGTTAATAGTACATTCAGTAGTTGAAAAATCTCATCTCACAAAATGGAGAAATTAACAGAAAACCTCTTTTTTCTATGATATGTAACAAAATGAATAATTCTACTTAGATGTGTCTCCTTGAAATTTACAATACTATAATATAAATTCTATTATATTCTGCATCCAGAACTAAACAAAAATTGTGTAAACAGGCGAACTCATGAAAAATTTCTATATGAAATATAAGGAACATCGTGTTATTGGAATCTACACATTGTTCAAACCAAATCTGATAGTCGCCGATCTCGATCTAATTCAAACTATGCTCACGAAGGAATTCAAGAGTTTTCATGATCGTGGAAGGTACATCAATGAAAAGGTCGATCCACTATCTGGTCATTTGGCTTCATTGACCGGAACAAAGTGGCGGAATTTACGCGTCAAATTGGTACCAACTTTTACATCGGGCAAGATAAAACAAATGTTCACGATTATAAGGGAATGTAGTGAAGAGTTGACGAAAAGTTTAGAAATGGAAACTCATACAAAAAATGCTGTTGATATCAAAGAAATATTTGCAAGGTAATTAAGGGAGATTTATTCAAAGGAAAAATGATTGTTGAGACAAAGGAATAAATATCTTTATTTAAAAAGTAACTTGTAAAAACGGTATATTATAATTATAAATTGTTTGTTCCTTGTTTTAATCAATACTTGATTAACGAGCTCGCATCCGTAAGCAATTGGAATAAACTCTTGCCGCAATTATTCGTTTATTTACATCATTACGCAAATTATTGTATATTAGAACTTAACAAAACAATGTATCCAATAACAATAGATACACGACGGATATAATTATGTCAACTGCATTGGGAATAAAGTCCAACTGCTTAGTTGAGGCGAATAATGAATATCGATACTGGGGAAAGAAATTTTTCGAATTAAATCCTTTCTGGTCCGCTATGAGGATATTTGCACCAGAAATTTTGGAATTCTTTTCCATTCCTGCTACGGATCGTGGTGTCACCAAGTTCTTCACGAAATTATTCCGTGACAATGTGGAGTACAGGCAAACTCACAACGTCGTAAGGCACGATTTTATGAATTTACTTATACAACTCATGGAGAAAGGCTACGTTGAACTTGACGACAATAATAGGGACAACGCCGATAAATCTTGTAAATATATATCTTATATTTATTTTCACAGCGACGACGTTGTAAAAAATTTCGTATACGTGGTGTCTCTCTTATGTAGCAATCATGTGAATATGCACTTTCGGCCACCTAAAATATTTATAACGTCGCTATGCGAGATCATTAAACGATTTTGATACTTTATTCCAACGCAGCTAACACGAATAAACTTACCATGCTGGAGGCGACCGCACAAGCCTTTGTCTTCTTCATAGCTGGCTTCGAAACATCGTCGACCACGGCGACGTTCTGCCTGTATGAGTTAGCTGTACATCAGGATATACAAGACAAAGTTCGCCAGGAGATCGATGAGACGTTGAAAAAGCACGGTGGACTGACTTACGATGCTTTGAACGAAATGACGTATCTGCACAAAGTAGTCCAAGGCAAGCATGACATCTTCTTTTAACATATCGCGAGGAATTTTTTCTCCGCAAGGAAATTACAAACTTTACGATATTATAATCAATTACGTATCTACATACATCTTTGCGTAGAAACTTTACGGAAATATCCACCTGCAACTGTTTTGAGTCGTGTCTGTACCAAAGAGATAGTCCTCCCGACGACAAACGTTCACATCCCGGTAGGGACATTAATCTCTATACCAGTACTCGGAGTGCATCGAGATCCGTCAATATACCCGGATCCGAACAAATTCGATCCTGAACGTTTCAACGCGGACCAAGTGGCAGCGAGGCATCCTTATGCTTTTTTGGCATTTGGTGAAGGACCACGTATCTGTATTGGTGAGAATAAATCAATTTTTTTGTTTTAATTTTTTGTATTCTTTAAAAGAAGCATAATCGACCCACACATACAACTTAATTTCCCCATTTTTCGGAAATATACAGTTTTGAATTTAGAATTTTTAATATACAATTTCATTATGATGTTAGTTTAAAGCGTATTTATAAAGGCAGATTTTTTAAATATTTAATTAATAATTCAAATAAATTAGTAAAAGATATCTTAAGATGTCTTAACATCTATGGCAGAAATAGAATGTCTTTTTAATACCTTTAAGACATCTTTTAGTAGATTTTACTTGGGAAGTTATTAATGTCGCATCCCAATGAAAAATGTTTCATTTATAATTATATAAAATTATATAAAATTATATATAATTTTACATTATTATATATAATTATGTATGAAACTTGTTCATACATGTAAATACATGTTACTTGTGTATAATTATGTATGAAACTTGTTCATACATGTTAATACATGTTACTTGTGTATAATCATATATATTTATATATAATTATATATAATTATACATAATTATGAATGGACAAATTTTACGTATAATTATGTATGAAAAATTTTTCAACGGGATTATATATTTAGTTTGTTCCTTTTTTACTAATGACTCAGTAAATATTTTATTGTATCTCAAACAATCGAACATTTTAATTTTCAGGTGCAAGGTTTGGTTATGTGCAAGCAAAGGTTGGAATTATAAGCATCCTATCGAAGTTCAAGGTTAAATTGCATCCCCAAACTGCGGTACCACTCAAATTTGATAAGACACATATACTCACTGCCAAAGGTGGTGTGCATCTTATTATTGAATCACTTTAAGCTAATCGCGCTGATACTTTTAAGTTGTAAAATTGATTCTGACGAGATGTCTGGGAGCAAAATGTTATATACAAAAAAAAGAGATACTAACACTCTAGTAAATATTAAAACCTATTTTTTATTTATAACAAAAGTATGGCCATATTTCAAAACGCACGGAAAAAAAAGTTTGGTTGAATTAACCAAATATCTGGTCAATTATGAACGATCCAGAAATTTCGATTGAAGTAATCCGAATTCTGTTTAAGTTAACAAAATGTTTGGCTGACTTAAACAGAAATCGAGTTATTTCAATCAGAATTTCTGGGTCGTTCATATTCGACCAGATATTTGGTTAACTCAACTAAATCTTTTTTTCCGTGCGTAAATAAAAAATATCGTTGATATAAGAAAATTAAGCGCAGTACGATTATGTCACAAAATCGACCGCGTAAAAAAGATTGACCAGTCGATGACAGATCGAATACGACATGTATAATATTTACTCCGCCCGGCGTAATATTTTTAACATTTTTTATTGTGACTCATGAAATGTTACGCGAAAACGTGGAAAGTACAAGGTGTGATAAAAAAAAGACCGGAATTCTGTCGTCGAGCGCGTAAAACTTTACGGATAGTACGGATAGTACTTTACGGTAGTTTAAAATTTTACAGATAGATAGCGCATCCTAGCGATCTGTGAAGAACTGCTCCAGCGTGCGAATACGGATGAAAATTTCTTAAAAAATGTTATTACTAGGGGCGAAACATGGAGCAGTTCTTCATAGATCGCTAAACAGTTCTCCTTTTGGTCACGCGTGAGAATCGCAGAACGGTACAAACACACACTCGTTTCCAGTACAATAACTTCAGAACTACTGGACCAATCGTAACGTAATTTCTACAACGTACTGAAGAAGGATGCGCTATCTATCTGTAAAATCTTAAACTACATCCGTGAAGTTTTACGCGCTCGACGACAGAATTCCGGTCTTTTTTTAATCATATCTTGTATAATAACTAAATATCCAAAAATATGCAGGGACATATCATACTAAGAAATATCATACTAAGAATCATTGATAATTACTTATTATCCAGTATTTTTAATACTGAAAATAAGTAATTATCAATGATTCTTAGTATGATATTTCTATAAGGGATATCAATCAATAAGAAAAATAATTTCTTAAGAAATTAAAAGTAGTAAACGAATAGAATTTTGTTTATTACTATCGTTAAAATATGTAAAACTGTGTGAAAATAAGCACTAATTGCAACAGTTGATGATTGTTGTTTCAAGAGTCGAAAAGATTCGTAAGACACATATGTGTATCCATAATCCGTCGATGGTATATGTCCGACATGTGAAAACATATGCATCTATATTATTGAAAAAGTTAATCAGCTGACATGAGATTAAAGGTTATCAAAATACGTTGGCGGTTGCCGATATGTTACATGTCATGTGTATTGAGACTCTATATTAAGATATTTTTGTCACCATTTGTGTCCAAGAAACTCGTATTAACCCTAGGTATACACACTGGGGTCTCCGAGACCCCAGGAAAAATTTGAAACTCTAGTAGCAGAGAGAATAAGTAAGAAGAATACGATCAAATTATATACTAAATAATCAACTCTATTTATATAAGACAAATCCCAATAAACACACATAACTGCTATATAACATAGAAATAACAAAATTATGTGTTACATCTATGTTATATAGCAGTTATATTTTGTGTTTTCCGGAATACGTGTCTTGCAGAATCTAATATTCTGCGCATTCCATTCGCCATAACAGTTTACTAATAATGTAAAAAAGTATTTGTAAATCCAAATTAATAGAAATTAAATATCAAATGGTGACAAAAATATCTTAACATAAAGTCTCAATACACATGACATGTAACATATCGGCAACCGCCAACGTATTTTGATAACCTTTAATCTCATGTCAGCTGATTAACTTTTTCAGTAATATAAATGTATATGCTTTCACATGTCGAACATATACCATCGACGGATTATGGATACATATATGTGTCTTACGAATCTTTTCGACTCTTGAAACAACAATCATCAACTGTTGCAATTAGTGCTTATTTTCACACAGTTTTACATATTTTAACGATAGTAATAAACAAAATTCTATTCGTTTACTACTTTTAATTTCTTAATTAATATCTAAATAATATTGTACTAAGTTCCATTTATTAGTTAAAAACAAATGGTATATTCTAATGATTCAGTTTAGATTTTGTGTTATTTTTTGGTGGTCATTAATTTTTATTTTATTATATGTAAAAATTATATCGTTAAATATTTTTATGTTGATCGCTCTATAAGTTAATCCGCGATTAAATTAATCGGAGTTTGGTCGAATTGATCCTCAAACTCAATTCAATTTATTTGCTTTATATATTTACCCTGACTCATATACAAATCGTTGATATTAGGTTATGTTGTGCTCATATATTGCATTGATGCGTCGCGATACGCATTCTGTGTGAAAATAAGAAGCACGCGATTCTTGAACTTTCGTTGTGACGCGACGGACGATGCAACGCAATATTTGAAGATACATATGTTATTAATATAAGCGAACTCTTCATCCAGTGAATTAATATTGCAAGATGTTTGCGCGGGTGCACATCCAATGTGTGATGACCAGTAATTTCATACAGTTTCACATTTGTGACAAATATAACTAGACTTGTGTCTAGTGACTAATGAAGTCATTAGGTTTAGCATTATCTTCTTTTACAATAAAGGTGATATCACGGTAAAGGAACTGTATGAACAGCTTGATTCTTTATATTTATTGATCCATATATTTTGAAAATAATGTAAGTTCGTTTATTTTTTCTTCATGATATTAAGACATTTTCACGAGATTAAAAATAACTATATATTTAGTTTTTTAACTATAATTATATCTTTTTTTTTAATTTTATCATTTTTATAATCATGTGATCTTAAATACTGCGTCACTCTATGTAATATATTTAATAAATTATGGAGCTCGTCAACTAAGTTTATATGCCAAATACACAACAAATGTAAAATGACATAAAAAATTATGTTATTTAAAAGATTAAGTCCCGATCTACAATAGATAGGCCTTAAGCCTTAAGGCGTAAGAAATTAACTAATCACGATTGATTATTCTTCTATAACCCTTATAGAAATATCATACTAAGAATCATTGATAATTACTTATTTTCAGTATTAAAAATACTGGATAATAAGTAATTATCAATGATTCTTAGTATGATATTTCTATAAGGGAATTCGACTATGATTGGACAATTTCTTCAAGCTTAAAGCTTATTACACCTATTGCACATCGAGACTAAGAGGAGAGTGATCGTATTCTCTGGAAGAAGAGGAAAAAGGAGGAACGGTGCGAATCGGCTGCGCCGCACCGCGACGTGTACTTCCTGGCTGTGTTTCAAAATTCACTGCCAGCATTGAAAAGCTATAATTTATGTTACATATATTATAGATTATCAGCTCTGTTAATAACGCTCTATGCACAATGCCTGACAACAGGCAATTGGAATAGGCATCAACCAATAGAAACAGGGATTAAAAATAATTGACCAATCCGGATTCCAATTGCCTGTTCTTATTGCCTGTTGCCTGGCGTTGTGCATAGAGCGTAATTTTGAAACACAGCTCTTGTCACAAGGTTGTTTGATGATGTCAGCATTGGCGTCACGCGGGAACTAGGTTTCCGTTGCAATAAAGACCAGAAAAGCCACGCGCAGTTTTCATCCTACTTCGTCGGAGCCAGTTCATTGCTGCAAGTCAGTACGTGTAGAGTGTGTACTCTTTTGAACAGTTTTTCGGTTGTCGAACAGATTTAGTTCGTGTCTTTCCTTTCGTGGTCAATTTCAAAAGTGCTTTTAACAAGACAAATCGTCGTTTTTGTTTTGTTTTTATTACCTTTACGTCTCAAGCGAAATATTGGACGCATCTCGAGCACGATTACAGCGACTTTGATTGCTAATCTTTGACTTGCATGGATTCTGCGAAACCATTAGGCTCAAGGTGATCAGTTCTCATCAATCAACCATGTTCAGTTATCCTACAACTTTGGACCTGTACACTCGGCTTTCTTTAATTGATTAAACAGCATTTCCAGTCATCTCAGTGTTTCTCGCTCGATATGAATATGCATATTGAACAGTCCTGTTCATTTAGAAATTATGTTATCGTTTATAAATATGCGCACGCGTAACAGTGTGAAGATTAATAGTCCTTTTCTCCTTGGTGTCCGCTCCTTTCCTCCGTCCGTCGTGCTCTTCTTTCTGTCTAATATATAATGTCTATATTAATAACTATATAAAATTATGTTAAAGTGTCTTATTAATACATATTTCTGTAATTAATTACATGATTTAAATGCTACTTAAATGTAAAACAATTTTTTAAATTACTCTACATTTACTACTATATATTTGAGCGATACACAAATGTCTATAGCATAACTTTTTAAGTAGAAAGCATTTTAAAACTAAATGATCGATAACAACGGAAAGCTGTTACGTATGAATTTAAAAAATAATCTCTTGGAAAATTGAAAGAAGTATGCCGGGATAAAAGAAATTCTGCTTGTTAATGACAAAAATATTAAAAAGAGCAAAAAACGGCCATTGCAAAACTTGATACTTATTTTTTGTTTTGAGACTATAAATAAAAAAAACTTGGATAAGATACAGTATCTGATATTAGTGCAGACATTAGTATCTGCAATCCACGTCGATAGCACATATCGGACGCGTGCAGTATGCCCGCTAAAAAATTTAAATATTATACCTAGACGCAGAAACGAGTCAATGTATATATGGTGTGCAAATACAATTTTTTTTTCAATAACAGCTGTTTCCTTCTGCTTCATAATTGACGTGTCTCAAGAAAAAAAATTTAAATCTTTAAGACATTAAAATAATGAATAAAATAAAATAATTAAAAAGGGAAATAAAATGAGGAAACAAAATTGAGTTAATTGACAAATATAGCAATTAAATTACCGATTTAATTCGAAATTGGATTTACATAATTTTCTAAATAAACGGTTCATTTTATGACGAGAAAAATGTTAGAAGTTTTAGAAACTAGGTAGAACAGGTAGTCAAAACAATGTCAATCTGATATCATTTTGACCAAGAAATTATGTAAATTTAGTGAATATTTGATCAAAATGATATCAGTTTGACATTATTTTAACTATTTATTTTACCTGGAAAACACTAAATACTAACGTATAACTAATATATAACTAACATATAACTAACACTAACTATACATACATTAACAATATTAAAAAAGCTTGCACGGGAGATTCTATCGAGAGCAAAGATATATTTGCGAAATAATCTTCTCTTATAAAACTTTTGTTATCTCATCTATCTATAAGAAATTGCTAGTCAGCATGACATTATTTATTACATAATATTAACACACAGTTAGATGATTGGCATTATGTCAGCTTATCTGTTACAAATGTATCTTGAAGATACATATGTTGTTAATATAAGCGAGCTCTTCTTCCAGTGAATTAAAACTGCAAAGTGTTTGCGCGCGTGCACATCTAATGTGTGATGATGAATAATTTCATATAATTTTACGATTGTGACAAATATTACCCGACCTGCATCTAGTGACTAATAAAGAAATTGGTTTCGACATTATTTACTTCTGTAATAAAGGTAACATCGCAGTAAAGGAATTACACGAGTTTGGAAATAACATTGCAGATATAAAATATTCGTGAAAGCATAAGGAACGCCGAGCATTTAACACTATCCCCTTATAGAAATATCATACTAAGAATCATTGATAATTACTTATTATCCAGTATTTTTAATACTAAAAATAAGTAATTATCAATGATTCTTAGTATGATATTTCTATAAGGGTAGTATACATAGATTAACCGTAAAGCTTTACGAAGTAGTTGTTTATTATTATATTACAGGAAAAGAATATCAATACAAAATGATAATCGGGATAACGATCGGGCTTTGTATCGCTATCCTTACGCTAATATATGTTTATTGTAAATACGTGATATTCAATTTCTGGCGGAAGAAGGGTGTGTTTTATATCGAGCCTGATGTACCAACTGGCAACATGACTGATTTTATAACTGGAAAAAAATCATTAGGCAAGTATGATTACATAACGTTCAATGATATTTTTAGTAATTGAATAAGAATCTTGTAAAAATCGGAAGGCAAGGCGTTCTTCTACTATATCTAACAAAATTACGATTGATTTGTATCTTCTTGAAATCCCCACGAAAGGGAGGGAGATTTGTATGAATTTAGTCTTATAAATTGGACAAACAGAATTTTAAAAAATTTTGTGAACAGGTGAATTCTTTTATGATGGCTATATGAAATATAAAGATCATCGTGTTTTTGGAACGTATTTCTTTTTGAAACCAAATCTGACTATCACCGATCTCGACCTCATCCAAACGGTGTTGGCAAAGGAATTCGGAAGTTTTCATGATCGTGGATTGTTTTACAACGAAAAAACCGACCCACTGACTGGTAATTTGTTTATGTTGTCCGGGAAAAAGTGGCGGAACTTACGCGTCAAATTGACGCCGACCTTCACATCGGGAAAAATAAAGCAAATGTTCATGGTCTTGAAAGAATGTGGCGAAATGCTCACGAACAGTTTGGAGAGTAAAATTCGCACAGAAGATTCTATCGAGATTAAAGATATATTTGCCAGGTAATCATAAATATTTGAAATAAATATATTATGCTTTATTTCCGCAAATAGGCGTTTACATATATATTTTCACAATTTATTACACAACTATTAAAACTTACCAAATTGATTTTTATCGAACAACAATAGATACTCGACGGACATAATTATGACGACTGCATTTGGAATAAAATGCAACTCTTTAGTTGAGACGAGCAACGAATTTCGATATTGGGGGAAAAAGGCCTTGGTATCGAGCGCTATTTGGGATAGTCTTTTCCTGTCTATTCCGCAAATTATGGATTTTTTTTCAATTCCC